CTGCATGTATCACGCCTTATCTGCGCATGTCTCAGACTTGTTTACGAGTTCCTATGGCTAAGGATTCCAGACGGAATCCGAAACGTCAGGACAATAAAACTCTAGTTCCAGTGATCGCCTCTCCTTCTTCTGAAATTAATTTTTGCCAAATTTACCTTTCTTCACCTATATATGGCAATAGATTTTGGTGCGACAGTATAAAAATATATACACAAGGCAACTCTCAAAGATTAACTGTTTCGATTACAAACATCAAAGTAAAATAAACTCATGTCCTTATATGGATTTATTAGGTAACACTCCGCTGGTTACTCTCCGTAGCAATGAAATAATAAAAACTACCAGACATTCTAAAATACTTATACTATTTAGCTATAAACGACGAACCCAAGAGGCCTACATAAACTATTCTTCTCCTTGATTCTGTTAAATAATTTACCCCGTTTCAAACTGTTTAATTCTCTAACTGCTAACGAATTGTGATTGATTATTGTGTAGCCGCAGATGTATGCCATATAAGAATAAACAACTTGCCTTTTCTTTTCTAGGTGATCAATCAGGTTGACATGGAGGAGTGTGCCTTATTGCAACGTCTCCTTCAGTCGTCGGAATGGTCCAAATATAACGGTTCCTTGATGGTTTACTGTGAAGCCCTGTGCAATGAGTTGGATCAAATTGAAGACAAGGCTCTGTTGTTACGTGGAATTCTTATTCCCAGTCTTGAGTATTGGGAGTTTTGCTTGCGAGTTCTATCGATCGCCCAGGTAATAACATTGTCGCTCAAGAGGTTTTCGCTGATTCGTATAAAGAAAAGTTCACATTCCCTGCAAATGCATCCGGTGATTTCCTAATTAGTATGAAGGTTTTTGCATGTTCATAAGAAAACTGTTCTTCCTCGTCCGGATGTTTTGGGTGAATAAATAATATTTAGTTCAGAGTTTCCTTAGGCCAACTATTTGCTTATGATTGTCAATTTTTTGAAACGTTAGCAAAGTATTTTTTGAAAAAACAGCACCTTTTTTCTGTATCACAGAAAGGAACCAGTCATAAAGCTGGACCTTTTCAAACGTTCTTCAATATTGCTTGTGTTGAATTTCTGTGGTCATTTGAATGTTTCTGCTACATGTGGATGAGAAAAAACCACATTTTCTTCACGTATGGTTAGTCGGAAATTGGTCTTTTTTACTTCGTAAAACAAGCAAACCTCGGCGAGTTTGGTAAAGACGACAAGGAGGTGAGTGTCCATGAAACGGTAAACTAGAGAAGTGAAATACGATCGAGGTATTCGGCTCGACATGTGCACGGAACAACTGTGACAACGGCCTCTTCGGTATTGTTTTAACCTTGTTTATGCAAGGGAGCATAACTAACTAGGTGTGGGCATAAACAGTCCAAAGAGTAACCTACTGTGTAGCCCGACATTGACAGTGAACTTTAATCAAAATTTCAAAATAGAAGCCGCAAACACTGCACGCTTGCAGGAGGCCGTGGATGCAACAGCAAGTGAACATTTTTTAGCCGAAGATTAAGCGAGGGGGTGGGGAGGGGTAGGGTCCGGAGTCTGCCAAGTTCTCGCTGCCTCGCCCTCAGTGGTCTCACGGCGTCGTAACGACATGCATGCCTGGCCGGGAATCGCGCCGGGCCACCTGGCTGCGTAG